ATATATATAGTTCGGAGTGAGTATACTGAGTAGTGAATAAAGTCACGTGAAAATACAGACCAGGTTTATTCTCTCTACCTCTACCTGGGATATATATAGTTCGGAGTGAGTATACTGAGTAGTGAATAAAGTCACGTGAAAATACAGACCAGGTTTATTCTCTCTACCTCTACCTGGGATATATATAGTTCGGAGTGAGTATACTGAGTAGTGAATAAAGTCACGTGAAAATACAGACCAGGTTTATTCTCTCTACCTCTACCTGGGATATATATATTATTATTATTATTATCCTTTTGATTGACCTGTAAGATAACGTCCATGCCTAGGATCACAAGCAGTCATCATATTCCTTGCATCAAACATCTGCTGGGTCAACTCAGGAACTACATTGTGTCAGGAAAAAATAAAATAATTGTGTCACGATAGATTCGAAAATTCAAGTATTAATAATTAGATTGGTTTATTACAGAAAGATTTGTGGTCTGGAACACAGAAAAAATTGTTCCTCAATATTTGGGACAGACTTGATTTTGTGTTGTTGCAACACATTGGTTATACACATAATTATTGCTTTAATGTCGTCTTCCCATTCCTTCATATTTTCCCCTTTGTAATGATATCCTCCCACTGTTGAAACAGGGAGAGGTTCCTGGTATAGTTTCCTTGTTAAATTCTAATTCTAAACTTGCAAAAATATTGTAAACCTTGAACTCAAAGAATTTTAATTATTGGTCGGCTGAGTCTGCCTTTTATGAAATTTAGAATTTGAATTTATTTAAAATTATTAAATTCATCTTTAATATTCTGTGCAGAAAATTTATGGAGCGGGTTCAATTTTTGCCAGGTTCATTTACTGATTCAACTTTAATGAGAACTTCTTTATTTGAATCAGAATCTTTTCTTTTCTAAGATACTGGTATTTTTATGCAATAGCTTTATTGTGGACACTATCTTCAAACAATTAACTTCATGTCTTCTTTTTTGTATAATCTTGTAAATGGACACAAGCTTCAAACAATCCGAAAGAAAAAAATTGTTATTCATTAAATCTTTACATTTACAAAATATAAAAGATTTCACTTTGCTTCAACATTAATATTGTTTACAGTCTAGTGAGTAAAGTATAAGATTTTATATCATTACTAATATTTTCCTTTCATACAAGTAAACCTTAATATATTTGTAGCCTAGACGATCTTAAAACATGGTGTTATTATAGAAATTTAAAAAAAAAACCTTACCTGACCTATTTTTTTTTAATCTGGAGATTTTTTTAAAATTTAAAATTAAAGGTTTAGTGATAACCATAATACGCGGAGGAAATGTCGTTAAAATTCGTTATCAAACCGACGACAAAAAACTTTTAAGTTTTTTATTTAAAAAATTAATAATGATAATTTCGTTTCAGGTTTTTTAGGAAACAATCGGTTCGTTTTTTCAGAAAAGTGAAACTGCCTTCCATAGTACACTCCAATCTAAGTAGGTCAAGGATTGAAAATGCTCTACTAAAATTCGTATCGTCCATACCATTTCCTCGTACTTTACTGGGATGAGTTCCCTTTATGGTTGCCTTATGTAATCTATTCATCTATAGTACAAAATTAAAAAGTGAATTTCGCCTTTTCCACCATAGCTCGTGACTGGGATATGTAATAGTTTGGAGTGAGTGTATTGAGTAGTGAATAAAGTCATGTGAAAATACAGACCAGGTTTATTCTCTCTACCTCTACCTGGGATATATATAGTTCGGAGTGAGTATACTGAGTAGTGAATAAAGTCACGTGAAAATACAGACCAGGTTTATTCTCTCTACCTCTACCTGGGATATATATAGTTCGGAGTGAGTATACTGAGTAGTGAATAAAGTCACGTGAAAATACAGACCAGGTTTATTCTCTCTACCTCTACCTGGGATATATATATATAGTTCGGAGTGAGTATATTGAGTAGTGAATAAAGTCACGTGAAAATACAGATCAGGTTTATTCTCTCCACCTCTACCTGGGATATATAATAGTTCGGAGTGAGTATATTGAGTAGTGAATAAAGTCACGTGAAAATACGGACCAGGTTTATTCTCTCTACCTCTACCTGCGCAAGTTAAACTAACCATGTTGTCTACCTGTACCTGCTCTGTACTGTTTGGTATCTTTGGCAATAAGCGGGGCAAACGCTTTGAATTAAAGGTATCACGCTCTCAAGCAAAAATCTATGAGAATTTTGCCAATTACTTCTTGAAAACCAAAGCTAACAACAAGTGCTTTTATAGTGATATTAAAATGTACATGTTAAGGGCTACAGAAAAGCAAAAGTGAGTTAGAGCGGTGAAATCTAAGCCCAAGGCGTTGCGACACTTTAAAGTCGACCCTGTCTTAAAATTTATGAGACTGTTTATAAGCAGGCTGAATCTATGTGTTAATTAATTAAATTCTGGCGCAAAGAAATGAGCTGAGCAAAGCGCGGCATGAAATAAATGAGGGTGTGGGGAGGATTGTAAACATGTTGTCTACCTGTAACTGCTCTGTACTGTTTGGTATCCTTTGCAATAAGCCTGGCATGAAGAAATGAAGACAACTACAAGGTAAATGGCAATGACATCTACTGGTAATAGCGATCTGTACTCTTATGTATCCCTGAAGGTGAGCAAAGCGCGACATAAAAGAAATGAAGGCGCCGGGGGGGGGGGGGATGGGAGATGTAACCACGCTCTCTACCTGTAACAGCTCTGTATTGTTTGGTATCCCTGGCAGTGAGGGGAGCAAAGCCTGGCATAAAGAAATGAAGGCGAGGGAAGGGAACCATGTTGACCGCTAGCTTACGCAGGTCAGCGTTCAGCTGACCAGGAAATCTAAAAAGGAGAGTTATTAATAAAAATTTTAATAATTTTACTTTGGTTATTGTCAAGATAGTTTAAAGTGGAAAGTGCCATCAAAGGTTTCTATAGAGCCTAAATAAAGAACTTATGTGAAAATGTATCTCAATTCTAAATCATTTTATGGCTGAAACGAGTTTTTTTTACTTTATTAATTCATTAAACAACGAGAAGTTTGTGTTACCTAAGGCAGGTGGTGACTCCTGACATAGTAACAGATACAAGATGGTTTAGGTCACCATAGGTCGGGGATGTTAACTTCAATGTTCTGAAATTAAATCAAAATTAAAGATTTCAAATGAAAACAGAGCCTCAAACTCTAATTTTCTAATCCCTATATCTTTACAAACTGATGGTGTAAACCTTTTATATTAAAAACTTTCACTATTAATAGTTTGAAATAGCTAAGGGTTACGCTGCAGCAGGGTTCTAATATTATCTATCGAAGGGATGGAGGGGGCCTGTGGACCCATAATCCCTCCTTCCCTTTTCCTTTTCTAATATCTACCTAGCTCTAGACCAAGCTAGTTGCAATGATGAATATTTCAAGTCTTCTCTTTATCTGAAGTTTGAAATATGGCGCTTTATTGTCAAATATAACTGTTTATTCCCGAAGCAAAGGATTTATAGGCGTCGTTATATAGAACTGCTATANTTCAACTATTCTAAAACATCTACCTATTTCTTTGAATAGGTAGAATTAGAAAAGGTAGAAAACCCCATTCCCGAATATAATGTGAATATTAAATTCCAGATCACTTTGCAACACTATATCAAAAACTTTTTTCTTCTCTCTAGTAATGCCTATTATAGGGCGGAATTTTTCCGTACATCATAAAACAACAGCGCTGAACAATTTCGCAGAATATTCTGTTTGCACTCAAAAAAATTCCAAAAATCCCTTTTTTATTATTTTATCCTGCGGTCGCCAATAAACCACCGCTGAGGTTAGGTGAGATAACAGGTAACATACAATTTGTAAATGTATGAAAAAAGATATAATATACAGGATTATCCGCAAAGGATGAGACTGTAAAGACGACCTGAAACTCTTTATATCTGACGGTTTCAAGGTTAGATTAAGTCTTCTACCTTGAATACAATCTTTTAATGGCATATTCAATGTTAAGGGAAAGAAAAAAAGCTTACGGTTGCAAAGAATAATAAATACAAGGAAACAGACAGTTTTAATTCCGTATAGTCGTCTTTGAAGTATCATCCTGTATGACAATTTTAAAATGTGTATGTAAAGACCAGATGTGTTGATTTTCATGATTTAAAAAAAAATAAAAATAAAAATAAACTTCTCTAAACTCTCATTAAATATAAAATATTGTTTTTTTTTCTAAACTAATATTTGAGATTTCAGGCAGACTTTTGTTTTTAGCGAGTTGGTAGTTTCTGACAACTGAACCAGTTGACAAATTAGAAATTATAAAGTCCTGGAAAGTTTAGGAAACTTAGCAGTTTAATAATTCATATTAATCACCTCCTCTTCTTCTAACTTCTTAATCTTCTTCTTTGTCAAAGCTTTCTTTAATTATTCTTCTCCTCTTCCTTCTTCTTCTCCTACAATCTCAGCTCTTTCTCTTTCTTAATATCATCTTCCTTTATCCATGTACTTTCAAAAGTTTTCAATTATTCTTCTTCTCTTCCTTTTTCTTCTCCTACAATCTCAGTTCTTTCTCTTTTATAATATCATCTTCCTTTATCTTTGTACTTTCAAAAGTTTTCAATTATCCTTCTCTTCTTCCTCCTTCTTCTCCTACAATCTCAGTTCTTTCTCTTTCTTGATATTTCAATCATCTTCCTTTATCCATGTGCGTTCCAAAGCTTTCAATTATCCTTCTCTTTTTCCTCCTTCTTCTCATTTAATCTCAATTCTTTCTTTTTCTTAATATTTTAATCATCTTCCTTTATCTTTGTACTTTCAAAAGTTTTCAATTATCCTTCTCTTTTTCCTCCTTCTTCTCCTACAATCTCAGCTCTTTCTCTTTCTTAATATTTTAATCATCTTCCTTTATCCATGTACGTTCCAGAGCTTTCAATTATCCTTCTCTTCTTCCTCCTTCTTCTCCTACAATCTCAGCTCTTTCTCTTTCTGAATATTTTAATCATCTTCCTTTATCCATGTACGTTCCAGAGCTTTCAATTATCCTTCTCTTTTTCCCTTTCCATATTCTGTCTTGTTTATTATTGAAAATATTTAAGTGTGATATAAATTCTGCCTTTGTTTTACCTCTATAATCTTAAGAAATATAGCGGAGATTTTTGTAATTTCAAATTTCCCATTGTTGCAAACTTGCAACTGATTTAATGTTAACACTGACATTACAAATCCCGTATCCACATTTTATAATAAAAAGACGACGATAATTCCATTTTTCTGTGTCTCCCTGTATTCTATCCAAAACATTTCTTTCTACACATTTGTCCTGTATAACACATTTATAGGAAACATTTTATCTAGGAAATTTTTGTGTCAAAATTGTAAGTGTTGGAAAGAATTTAATCTTTTGTGTTTTAAACATTTTAAATATATTCTGATAAGTTTTGTGCAGAAACATTTTGTGGTTTAAAACATGTTCTCTCCGTATACTTCCTGTTCTTTAAACCACTGCACCCCCCCCCCCTAACCAAAAAATCTGTGCTTTATTTTTATGCTGGATGCATTAATTCTCTGTTCTATTCTTCAATTTGTTAAAGAAATTCCATCTGGAGGGTGAAATCTGAAATGTGTATTATGTGAATCAGAAACCAATTTCCACTATTTTATCCGATTTTCTTTGTTACGTTCTTTCACAATGAAACCTTGTGGAAATCTGGTGATATTTTTTAGATCTATGACGATAAACAAGTGGTTGTTATATGGACCCATATTATATAGACTTTTGTAAGAAAATGAATTGAGTCTTTGACACAAAATCAAATTTTATAATCCATACATCTTTGCAACCTAATGTTACGGTGGTAGGCGATTATATCAATGTCATAAAAAGACTTTCGATTTCAATTTTGATTGTTATCAAGCTTTTTTACAGTATGGATACACAAAAACAAAGAAACAAAGAGAAGCTATCAATTAAAAGCTTCCCTTCGTAAACTTGTAAAAAGAAAAAGCTTGTTAACGATTAAAACTTAAAGAAAAATGTCGTCTTCTTTATATTGATATAATCGCCTATCAAATACAGGGTTACCCACAAAGGATGAGAATTCAGAGATGATTATATGGAATTTGTGCGGTCTGTTTCCTTATATTCACGATTGTTTCTTCGTCAAATAATAAAATAAGCCATTAGATAACTATAATTACGGCAGAATACATAATTTAATCTTGGGTGCGTCTCATTTTAAGAGTTTCCGGTCGTCTTTACAGTCTCATGACTTGTGGGTAATCCTGTGGTTTTGCGTGTTTTCATTAAACAACATAAAAAAATTTTAACTTCGAAGATTAAAAAAAAAATTTCATCAAATTCATTTTTTGTTTCCAAAAATACAATATACCTTGACATTATAAGGAATATACTAGCTATACCTTGACATTATTAGGAATCCACTCTATACCTTGACACTATTAGGAATATACTCTATACCTTGACACTATTAGGAATATACTCTATACCTTGACATTATTAGGAATNATATATACAATGAATTACAAAGGTGAAGAAAATATTGCTTGGTTGCTCAGGGTATGAAGTGGTTCAGGTTTGTAAAGCAAAACTTTTTATTTTTGAAAATGAACTTGCTGAAAGACTGATTCTTATTCATAGAGAAAAAAAAAGTGTAAGATAAGGACTGGGTTTGAAAAAAAGTCAAAAAATAGAGCAAACCCTAAATATTTAACTCAATTTAATAATAGTAGTAGTTAACCATAGCTAAACGGATAAAATAGTATATGATTGTAGTGGTGTACAGTACACTAGGAATTGAACTCTCCACTGATTCTAACCAAGAGGTCACGCAGTAACAAATTTCTCCTTATGACGCAACAGATAGAAGTAAGATTAGTAGCGATCAAAAGAGATTATTTTCGCCTTTTCCCTTTCCTTTTTTGTGAACAATCCCTTTAACCCATTATGGCTTTTAATTACCGTACTGTACAGTGCATCCCCCCTTTCAAATGTTTGTTATATAAACATCAACCTGGTGGCCTAAACGTACTCGATAGTTACTATACCGAATTGTAGCTATATCCAATATCTCTACTATTTCCCCACAATCTAGAGCTAATAAAACATTGAACATTTTGTTTACGGTTTCTTTTTTTTGTATTTTTCTCTCTTTTATTTTGATTTCTCCATGATCCTCTATGTTTGAAGACAACTAATGATTTATTAACTCCTTGAATCTCCATCCTTCTCTCCATAATTTTACAGAGAGGGTCAATAAACAGAAGACGTCAAACAAAGATTAAAACTAGTTTTAAACATTATTTTTAAAAAATCTAGACTTTCCAGTTTTAATTGTAGCCTTTACTTTAGTTTTATTTGGTTTTGTCCAAGCTTGAAAAAAAAACTACTGATGAAACCCTGTCACTCTAAATTTATTAAATAAGAATACCTATTATTCAACCCTGATCTACTACTAGTCAATAAGAAGACTGGATTTAGAATTATCTATTTATTTGACAACTTAACCTAACTATTCGTGTACCAGTGCAGTACGGAATTAAATTAAAAAGACTTTTGTTGTAATTTTAAGGGACCTTCCGTTTATAGAGGATCTTGCTCGATTCAATACCTTTTACAATTACAACTTTATCTGATGCATGATTTGGAAGATATAGTCGTTTTTCTAGCTCCCACCCCATTATATCTGCACCAGAAATGTGCAAGTACTTTTTTTAGGAAACCCGCGAAGAAAGATAATGATTTTTTGGAGCGTTAGACAGTAGACTCCTTCATTCTTGAACAGGCAAAGTACCACTCTAGGAATGCAGACTCACTTAGAATTGCAAAAACAGATAAATTATTATTGGCGCCTCGTCTTTGAACGTTTCCTTAACCCCCCCCCCCCCTCAACCTCGGCCCGCCATCTGTTGTGCAGAATAGCTAGAATTCTATCCTACATTGTAGATATTGGTAATAATATTCTATACCTTCGGGGAAGGTATATTTTAATTAGCCCCCCCCCCCTGATCATAGATCATGAAGTCAGTATATCTTAATTAGCTTAAGTAGCTTACACCCCACTGATCTAGATATTTAAACAAAATATCTTCAGTTCAATTTTAGAAATTAAGCGGCTGAACCTCTCAGGTAAATTGCATGACCCTGGTGACCTCCGGGGTGGTTCACCAGGATTCAAAAACATGTTTTTTTTTTCTTTCTAAATTTGGTAAATTAACTGCAGAGTAGGGAAATCTGCGAAAATTTAAATTTTTACAAATGTTCGCAGATAAAGAAAAAGTTTAAAGTTATGAGTATGCCTAGAAAGCTAGAAATAATAAAATTTAGTGAATAATACCTGAAACAAATGTCATAAAGTGCCTCATTATCTATACAGAAACTTTCATCAGTATTCTCAACCAGTTGGTGAACAGATAGAGTAGCATTGTAGGGTTCCACTACAGTATCTGATACCTATTTATATATTTATAAATGTATATGTATATCAAGTGTATATTTAAACTGAAAAAAGTTGAAAATACTATAATCACTACTTATATGTACTTACATTTGCAGTAAATATATACAAAACTATAAGCTTGGGAACCCAGCGCTGCCAAGAGTTTCCCAATTTAAAATTTGAGGAAAATCGGTCTGGGTGTTCCTGAGTTATGATCGGACAAACAAGCATACATACACCCAAACAGAGATTACAACTTTATACATATAAAGGATGTAAAAAAATGACCAAACGGTTCACAGTTTTTTTCAGAAATAAAAATTTCACAAAATCTGTGGATTGAGGATGATTGAGGGTTTGTTACATCAAGTTCTGCCATGAAATTTTTTTATTTGGTAAAAAATTTAACTTTTAAGGGTGGTTGGATTCATCTCAGT